TTGTAGGAAGAGCTCTTGCCAGCCAGAATGGGAACCTTCCTTCAACGAGGCAAATCCCTGCTAGCTCTTTGTCTGGCCCTATGCCTGGTCTCCCTAGGCTCTATTACAGGACAGTTATGAATCTCTGTCCTGAGCAGAGCTAGGACAGAGTGAGAATGAGAGCATGGGGTAAGGCGAATGACTGCAGCCCCGGACTATTTTTTTTTTCATAGACGTTAGGGCTGGAAGGGACCTCAGAAGATCATCGAGTCCAGCCCCCCATTTTGATGGGAAGCTGGAGCCAATGAGTAGGGGACAGAAATCCTTTCTCTGTGACCCTCCTGTAACAACAGGCAGGGTAGAACTGGGGGGCCTCATTCATCAGGAAAGGACCCCTTTGCCTGGCATGGACCCTCTTCCTGCCACGGGGCTTGAAGGGGTTAGGCAAGTCCTGTTGACCCCATTCTATAGCTACCACTGTCCCAAGGAGGCAAGAAGCATCTCCATCTGAAGCCTGCCTCTCTGCATTTGGCTCCCTGCCCCAACTCAGGGAGTGAGGTGTGTTTAATTACAGGCTCTTGCCTGAAAACACAGCAAACAATAGACAATTACAGTACAAATCCCATCCTTGGGGAGGTGTGCTGAGAGCTCAGATCCTTTAGCTGTAATGACACAGGGCTCCACCCTGGGAGCTAAGGAGGAGCTCCTGCAGCTTGTACCTTTGCCATCCCTTTTATGTAGACTAGACATTAGTAGAGGCACAGATAGACACACACATTTTCTCTAGGTTTCTCCCTCACATTTTTGGCTGAGGTTGGGTGGAGAACACAGGTTGTTTCTCAGTTGCATTCTCTGTGATGCTCTTTGCATCAGGAATGAGGAAATACCTTTTTTCTTCTGACAGATTAACCCCCAGCCACCTTGCCAAGACCATGACAGAGGAGAGAGGCCTGGCGCTAAGCAGCCCACGAGGAAGCCATTAGCATGGGGAGCTCTAAGCAACACTACCACCTCTTACCTCAGCCTCATGATTCAGCCTCACTGATGTTGATTATAAATTATACATGGAACTGCATAGGGCAGAGGTGAAGCAGGGCTGTCAGGAGGGGCAGGAGCAGCTGTGCAGTTCTGTAGGTGAGGACTAGATGCTGCTGCAGGTGGTGAGCAAGCAGTGCTGGGGCACTGGGGAAAAGGGGTCTCTGGAACCATCCTACATGGCTTTTTAAACTCCTCCATTTCTCAGTGCCATTGACTTGGGCCTGACTCATCTGCCTTCCATCCCTGCCTTTGAACAGAAGTGTATCAAGACCTTTGATTTAAAGCCAACAGTGATCTACAAGTGCTCACCCTCAGGCAAAGGCAGAACAAGAGCTAATGACCAGAGGATGAAGCTAGACAGATGCAGACTAAAAATAAGTACAGCCCACACATTCAAAACTGGACTAGTTAACCACTGGGACAGCCCACCAAAGGCATATGGTATATTTTCCATCACTGGAAGGCTTTGAATCAAGATGCCTTCTCAACATATATTCCATATTCAACCAGAAAGTGTGAGGCTAGCATAGGCATCTCTGGGTGACATTGTTCTTTCTATCCCGACTAGATTATCATAAATAATCCTTTCTAACCCTAAAACCTATGGATCCCTGAACAAATACCCAGCCTTTCTTGGCCTAAAATCTGTTGTCTATGGAAAAGCACCACTGAAGGGTCTGAACAGTGTTTGTTCATTACCTGCTGCTGTGAATCCAGCTGGGAGAGTATAAGATGCCATTTTTTCATGGCATCTGCAAAAACAAGGGACTTTTCTTGCTCAGATATCAGCTGTGGACTTAGAGCAAGTTTTTCTTTATATTTAGAACACCTTACCTTCTCTTGAGGCTCACAAAGCTGTTACTGCCCAGTAGTGGGACCTGGAGGGAGAGTTGCTATTTTTCATAAGGAGATTGAATGTTACTGACTTCCCCTCTAACGTGGTTTGTGCATCCTAGAATCGTAGAAAATTAAGGTTGGAAGGGACATTGGGAGGTCATCTAGTCCAACCCCCTGCTCAAAGCAGGACCACCCCCAACTGCATCATCCCAGTCAAGGCTTTGTCTAGCCGAGTCTTAAAAACCTCTAAGGATGGAGGATGACATCACTTTAGAAATAAGCCTGCCTCTTGCCTCCAGATACCAAGAGATTCCATTTGCTTTTCTGGAGTCCTGACACTTGTCTGAATATACACCAGCCACCCCTAGTAACCGTTATTACCTGCCACCGGTAAATTATTACTTGGCACAGATAGATGCCTCTTAAGACAGTCACATGGCTTACTATAATGACTATGTCAAGCTAGGGTAACTGTTGGAGATATATATCTGTATCCATTCATGAGCTTCATTTGGTACCCTGTGTTGAAGACAGGTCTCTTTCTGCCTGACAGCAGCCTATTGCAGCGTGTTAAAGACAGCTGCCCTGTCTGTGAAGAGCACTTGGTCCCCTGCTGAAGGACTATCACTAAGAAGCCATAGGCCCATTGTTGAAATGAGTCTCCAGTGCTGGCTTACCCCCAGGGAGCAATGGCTTTCCTATACAAGGGGCTGTATGGGGGCAAGCAAGCCTGCCAGCCAGGCTGGAGTGCACTGGTGGATTGCCAAACAATGAGATAGATTTGCCTTGGCTATGCCTGTGTTCTTACCCTTTCTGCCTGCTGCTCACAGTCTGGGAAGGCAGGTATAAGTGACCTGAGCAGCAGCCTTGATATCAAAGTACTAATTTCAAGGTCTAGGATGCCTGGGTAGCAGTACCCATCCCCCAAGGAAGAACATGAGACAAGGGATCTGAGCCTGGGTGTGTGCCCTAGAGCCTAGAGGTAGGTTTGGTGAGTGCATTTTCCCAGACCCTGCTGGGTTGGAAGCACAGGGAACCCAGTGACAAGGTCCATTTACAACAGACTGCTGCCCATGAAGAGAGGCAAGGATTGAGGCTACACCATGCATTGCTCAGCAGCTCCAGTTTGAGACTTCAGGCCTATTGTGCCAGGTTGCAGAATAAGAAGACAGCCCCTGCTCCATAGAGCCAACAAGCTACACAACTGGAAGTCCCTGGGATGCAATCCCAACTCCCAGATGTCTACTGCATATATACATGCTGCACTTTCCCCCATGCTCCCTTAAACAGGCTCTGGATTCTGGGGAAATGCTGCCTTCTAGGAAAAAGATCTGCAGAGGGCTCCTTTGAGCTGTGAGCAAGGATATGCCTGCAGGGCACTCTTCTCAGAGAGCTCTCCAGGAGAGGATCTTTTCCACCATGGTGCCAGTAGCTCTGCCCTGACAAAGAACAGGGATGAGAGATAATTTTCCATCATCATGCAATAGAGGTGCAGGTGTCTCAGCTGCCCAACTGTCGCGCTGTGGGCCATTTCCGCTGGTCTCTCATTCTTCTGAGTGTCTGTCTTCACATTTGAATCTGTGGCTCACAGAATCATATCTGGGAAGATCCTGTCATGCAAGAGAGTCAATGTTTCCACAGGAGTATGCACAATGCCCGTGGACTGACCAGGTATTGACAAAGATAGAGAAGAGCTTCTAAATCCATCCAAGATTAGGATTTGTCTGACTTCAGCCCTTCTGCCTGTCACACGATTCCCTGAGCTGTGTCTTCTGCAGTCTCTCCCTATTCAGGATTCCTCCAAAGAGCAGATGTAATAAGAAATTATGAGACTGTCAACACCTCTGCTCGCAGCTGAAGATGTTCATGTGTGAGGGGGTGGTAAGAGTGACTCCCTCAGTCAGTCCAACCTCCCTGCCTTTTGAATTTGGCAGTTTCAGGCATCAGGAACCTGTGTCTGAGAAGTCACATGGCAGAAGACAGATAGGTCCTGTGTCATCTTCCTGCAGTGGCTCAAATGGATTATGGATAACTCTGGGGTAGGACCAAGTGGAAGGAGGAGCCAGGCAAAGCCATGGTACATGATGACCATGAAGGCTCCAGCCAAGACACTGAGATCAGATGCAGAGCTGAGCTGGATGTTCTCTGAAACCCAAGTGCTGCTTGCTTCTGGAGTCTGGTTTAGACCCTCATAGTGGTGGAGAGTGGGGCACAAGGCTGATAGTTGGACAGTGAGTCTGGGGCCAGGTCTAAAGCTAAGAGGAGTTTGGAACTGGGGATGCTTGTCCAGGTCCAGTAATAGCAAAGGAAACTGTACAGATCATGGCTGGCTTGAGCCTGTTTCTTGAAGTATAAGAATTCTTTTGTTTCTAGAGATCTGACAGTGAACGTGAGAGTGTAACAGAATAAAAATGGTTTGAGGACTAGAAAAATCCCCCCACACTCACACACACCATACATGCACATTCATACCCCCATTTTCCATACACAGACATGTTCACACATGTACCCACAGACCACACACCTGTGTGCCTCCCACATATGCCACACACCACACATGCCTGAACCCCTTCACACCCCACCCACACATGCAACATACACGTATGCCCTGTCACACACATCCCCCCCCCCACCATACACCTACACCCCCATGCCCTTACACAGGCAAAGTACACATATAGCGCCCCCCTGCCTTGCCCACCCACAAACACACAAACCATGTTCACACATACATCCCTGGGCTCCATGTTCTTGCACACAGACAACATGCCTCTGTGCATCTTCACATACAAACACAGGCTGCAAACAGCTAACCTCCATCACGTACATCTCCATGTCCTTGCATGCCCTGCTATCAGACAACATATGCATACTTCCCACATACATACACTCCATGCAGATACACACAGCCCACACACACTCCCAACCCCGGCTAGGATCCAGCTGACACTGTTGTGCAGTCCTCACACATGCACAGCTCCCCCAGGCATGACCTTGGCTCCTCTTGTTCATGTGACTGGTTTTAGGCTGGGTGGGAGGGTCTCTTCCCCTCCCCACAGCTACTTTTCCTAGTGGCTGCATTCAAAGCATTTCCTGCCAAATGACTCCTCTCTTCAAACCAAGCCATAAAATTGACAGAAAAGAATGGACTTAACCCTGCTCTCACACCAGCTCAGTCCCACTCCTTCCACTTCCACCTGCACCCTGGGGAAGGCAGAGTCCAGGCAAACCCGGCTGGCATAAATCAGCAAGCTTCCATCCTGGCGAGTGGGGCAATGTTGATTTACCCAGGTAGGGATCCAGCCCATACTGTCTGCCCCGCCCCCCCCTTCCTTAGACGTATACCACGTTTCCTTTTGGCTCAGACTCCCATCTCAGTGACACCAGGGAGTAAATTGGCTCCACTGAAGCCAACCGGTAAATTATGCTCTCTGTGGGGTGCTGGAGCTGGGAAGCAGGAAGAAAAAGTGAGCTCTGTATATGATCTAAGTGGCTTACCCCCCTCCCCAACACCCCGCTCCTCCCCAGCTCCTTTCCCTTACTGATTAACAAGGCTGAGAATAGGAAATCAGTCCACATCTTGAACATGATGAAGAGAAGGAGAAAGGGGTGGGGGGAGGTGGGAAGGTGGAGAGAGAGATGGAGCTTCTTTTGAAAAGTCTCTCCAATTGTTTGGGTTCCTTAATCCAGTGAAGAGAAGGGGGCAGGACTTCCAGCTGCCCTTAATCGCTTTTCCCTTTGCCAAATATCCAGAGGTGGGAGCAACGCTGGGCAGAGGCAGCTTTGAGAGAGAGAGAGAGAGAGAGAGAGAGAACTGCTTGCTTGCTTGCATGTAACACCCTCCCCCTCTCCCCCCTCCCTTCCAGCCCCACTCAGTGGCCCAGAGACCACTCCAGAGCCCTGGAAGGTGAGAGGCTCTGGCACTGTCCCCTCTCCCCTCCTGTGAGATTGCAGAGCAGAGCAGTGATTTCTTTCCTCCTTTTTTTTTTTTTTTTTTTTAATTTTTCTGTTGATGTCTCTCTAATCTCTTCTTTCCTGGAGCTCCCCCCAGCTGCTGCAGGAGCCTCAGCCAAGTTAATGCAGAAAGAGAGCGAGAGAGAGAGACTTAACTCCAGTTCTTTTGCAGGGCGGCAGGGGAAGGATTGTCAGCGCTGATCCCCGTCCCTCCACCCCCGAACACTCAGCCTCCTCCTTCGTGAGCCTGCCTCCACCTGGGCTTTATTGTGACCGTGCCTGGCACTGGGCCACTAAGCTCTTTGAGACTCCCTCTGCCAAGGGGGCTTTTCCGTGGCTTTTTTCTCAATGAGAGATCCTTGAGCTTTGCTCCTTGGCAAGAGGAGGGGGACGCGTGGGAGCACGTCGGGGGGAGTGAACGAGTTCAAAAAAGAATAAAGGGCTCCGTGGTGGCTGGGAGAGGTGGGCGGAAGCACTGTCACCAGGACTGGCCCCGCAGATACAATGAGGGCGCAGTGGCCCAGCTGGATGAGATGCCTCCGAGCGGCTCTGTGGCTCTGCTGCCTGCTGCCCGAGGTGAGCTGCACCTGGAACCTGGCTGGACTCCAATACACCAACCGAAGGTAAAGAGCGAGCACACGTGTCTTGGCATGGGTGAGCCCCGGTGCTGGAGCCCCCCAGCGCTGTCAGCCAGCCTGTGCGTGACTGTGGACTAGTGGGTGAAGGGCTGACCTGGATTCTGGGGCTGCTTAGGTGACCTTGGGCAAGTGTTTGTGCCTGGGGCTTCTCCTGGCCAGTGGTGTTATGATAGTGCCTGGGATCTGTTGATTCCCAGAGCCAGTTACCCACAGCAGGGCCCTCTAACCAGCTGCCAGGTTTGCTGCTAGGTGGTATGTGAAAATGACAGCAGGGAGAGCTGACAGAAACCTGGCTTGTTAATGCCCTTTGAGGGGAGCTGCATGGCTCAGCAGGCTGGAACTGGGTGGGGGGGGGCTTTCTTTCCTAGATAATTGGCTCTGAGTGGTAGGAGTTGGTGGCCCCTGTGGTATATAGGGAGTGGACTAAGGGGCAGGTGAGCACATTGCCCCTGTAGAAGCTGCATAGTCACAGGCAGGGAGTGCAGGCCCACAAAGCATTTCCTGTCTCTGATCTACCTGGCCTGTGCATGGGAAGGACCCGGTGGTTCTGAAAAGCATCTGGCCTTTTGGGTGTTTACTGGAAACTTTTGGCACTGGCAATTCCTCCAGCACCGGATTCCCGCTGTCTCCTGGCTTCAGCAGGGTCTGGGACACTATGGGGAAACGCTTTCTCATTTCCCTTTCCTATCTTGGTCCAACCCAGGACGCACAGATAAGCACAGCACTTTTTAAAGGACCCGTGTTAGACCACATTTGAAGTACCCAACCTGCCACCAGGCTGGGGATGGTCCTAGGGAAGGAGGTGTAATAGGCTGTAGATGGGACATGCAAAACTGCAGCATGTCACAGAAGCACTGCTTGGATCTCAGCTGGTCCCAGGGCTGGGGTGGTCTGGTTCAGAAACTAACTTCTCCTGTCCCTTGTGAACTGCAGAAGCAGTGCTGCCTAGCAAGGCCAAGGCTGCTGGTGGTGGTGAGGCAGACCTCAACCAGCAAGGCCCCCAGAGGTTTCTGCTGGGAGCATCTGCAGACAAAACCAGGCTGTGGTGAAGGCACTCTGGCTTATCACAGCCAGCAGGTGCTTCTCCAGCCCAGCCAGTGTCCAGGAAACTCCAGGGAGTGACTGAATCAGTGGTCACAGGTGCCGCATCCCAAGAGCCCATAGGGAAGGGAAACATCAGGAAAGGAAATGCACTAGATTTCCTCCCCATCTAGGACTGGCCAGGATCATGAGAGAGACCCCTGCCACCCTACCATGGCCCCTCACCTCCTCTTTCACTGCCCAAGATCTTTACCTCACCATCTGCTTTGGAGTTTTGCCTGCCATAGCAGTGGGGCTGGCCATGCTGGGGAGGGAGGGGGCCTTGGCAATCCCCTAGAGCAACAGTTCTCAAGCACTTTTGGGTCATGGACCCCTTACTATGTCCATGATCCTGGTGCTAAGTACCCATGCAGTTCTGTGCTGCAGGTGTCACTCCAGGTACCACATCAATTTTCCAACAACCTAGCAGTGATTGTAGTGTTGCTCTGTGGTTTTTCTCTTTCTTCCTTTTCCTCCCATTCCCCTCAGCTTTCCGAGCCTTCTTATGACAGCTCGCCTGCCCCAGGGTGGGAGAGAAGTGCTCTCCTGGGACACACTAGAGAAGGGCATGAGGGCTTGGGGACTGAAGATGGATCTAGGCAATGCTTGACTGAGAGGCTCAAACACACCTCCTGATGCAGCTCATTGAGAGGGAGTGAGATCACCAGACTCAAACCTGTCCCGCTGGTGGTCCAGATGCCTGGGGAGCTCCCATCCCCTGAGGTGAAGTCCCTCACCCAACTCTTCTGCTTTCCCAATGGAGCTGTTGGTGCCTGGGTTGCTTTCCTCTTCCACCCTGGTTTCTCTCTCCACTCCAGTGGGTTGTCGCCCTGCTTTATCTGAGGCAGGTCAGGGTGTTCTGCCTTGCGGCTGTGTCAGAGTTGACTGTAATTTTACTAATAGATTAGGCAATGGGTTTTATGAGATGGTTTGGATAGGGATGATGCTGCCTCTGGTTGGGGGTTGGACTAGATGATCTCTGAAGGTACTTCCAGTTCTCTTTTCTATGATTCATAGCAGGTACTCCTTGCCAGATCCCTGCTCAGGCCTCATAACTATATAGATGAGCCATCCTGAAGGTTTCCCACCCCTCCACCTCCAGGAATGTTTGCAGGTTTCCTGTTTAATGATTAACCCCTCAGCAGGTTCATCCCCCATAGCTCTGGGCTGGGTTGACCCCAGATGGATCGTGCTAGATGCTGGAGTGACGGAGGCAGCACCTTCTAGCAGGCAGAGCAAGAGGCCAAAAGGCAGCAAACCCAGATTCCAGTGTCATCCCTGTCTCTGACTTGCAGAAAGAGGTGTTTCTTCACTTTGTGAGTCAGTTTCCTCATCTGTCAAATGGGCATAATGATCCCCATGCAGAAGGCATGGACATATCAGAGGAAAGACACTGTTCATGTGTTGTATTTGTCACCCAATCAGCAAACCCATTGTCAGAAGGGAAGAGATAACCAGTCCCTCACATTGGGATGGCAGAGAGAAACCCAAAGGCAGCTCTCAGTGCAAAGGTGGCTCGATGCTGGTGACTGAGCTGTGGTATGAGGGGCTGGATTGCCCAAAACCCTCCCCCTTGTTCAGAGGTGCTTGCTTAGGGACCAGGCAGCACGGGTGTGCTGAGGCACCTGCTCTGCCAGGCACTCAAGCCTGGGTGCTGCTTGGGCATTTCCTGAGAGTTGGGGCTTCTCTCTAAGTTGGCGCTGCCTGCTCCTGGCACAGGACTGGCTCCCCTGGGTCAGCCTGATGCTGGGAGAAAACCTTTGCCTTCTGCTGCCAGTGGGACAGCCCAGTAGGGCTATGGTGACCTGTGCTTTCCCTGAAGCCCCATGTGCCATCTCATCCCCTCCCAATCATGCTGCCACCCTCCCCCCCTCCCCCTGGTTCCCAGCCTGGCAAATTCCACTGCCCTATTCCTTACACTGGCCTTTACTCCCCTTGCCCCCACTCCCAGAGCATCACGCTCCATGCTTGGCATAGAAATTCCAACCTGGCACATATATTCCCTGCAGTGCCTCCCGTTGGACAAGTTAGAGACTTATCTCCCCTTTAGTGGCGTGCCTGTGGTGCCCTCCTGAGCTCCAACTGCTTTCATCTCTCATGTTGCCCTGCGTTCTCACTCCCACTATGCTGGCACTGTGGACCCTGTTGCACGGGCACAGTACAAACATGTAGTAAGACATATTCCTTGTGCTGGCAGTAGAGAAGTGAGATGTAGGGTCAGAGGGCAAGCAGATGTACACAGAAGTGCAATGACGTCCCCAAGGGCAGTTCCTCACTGCTTCTGTCACGCGGTATGGCCTTTTGCTCTGATTTCACTCACATTAACCCAGAGAGGGAGCTGGCCGCTTCCCTCTGAAATATCTCCTTTCCCTCTGATCCTTTCCATGCTGCACAAGTCCCCCACAGCCTCCCAGACAATGATCTTCCCCCTCCTCCTCTTCTTTCCTCCTTTGATCAGCTCCCTATTGGAAGAGTAAACCATGGTCCCCAGCCCTCCAGCCCCTGAATTCTTTATCCTCCTCTTAGCACAGCTCATTTTCAAAGGGCCTTCACCTCAGAGAGCAGGCAGCATTTTGCAGGTCACAAAGCAGCATGATCAATCATTCCCCCCCAGCCCTCTGCTCAGCCAGCCTGCCCCCTCCGCTGGCCTTGTCTTGTTAGGATGACCCAATATTTCTGGAGACTGGTCAGACACTGGGGTCTCTGCTCCAGGGAGCATCAGAATGACTTGTCGTTCCTGACTGGAACAAAAAAGGCCAAATTCTGGAATCTGCCTGCAAAATGAAAGAATTCCACACATTTTCAGTTCAGTGGCATTTTTGCTCACTTCATTCCCTTTTTTTAATTGGATAGGCTGTTGCATATATTGTTCAATTGAATTTGTCAATTACACTTGTTAACTAGATACTTAAATCTCAGAATTCATTCAGTATATTTAAGTATATTCTGAGTCTCATGTAGTGTGAGAATTCAATCAAAAGGCATCAAACTGCGGAAGTCAAAACAAAGCATCTTTATCTTACGTAAATAAAGGATTTGGGTTTTAGCAAAACAAAATCAGGAGGCTGAACCCATTCATTTAGGCTTTTTCTCCTCCAAAAGCTCTGCTGAAATTGTCAGGTCCCTCTGATTTTTGATGAAGCTGCATCTCTGACAGAAAACTCCTGCTCTGACAACCCTTTTTTTTTTTATCCAGCTCTAATATTTCTTTCCTGCCAGCCCTTCATGGCCCTTTTGTGCTGGGAGCTGTACAAACCCACATTAAGGCATGGTCCCGCACACCAGAGGCTTGTGCGGCTCCCAAGGATTTGAGTGGGCATGAGCTGTGGGTGGGTCCAAGACCTGAGCGCAAGCAGGCATGGCTGCTGGGTAGCCTAAAATGGCAGGCCTGAGGTAGGTGCAGGCAGGATCTTGGATGACTCAGCTCCCAGCAGAGCAGTGCTGTGGCAGCAGCACCAAGGTATCAGAGTAGAGCAGGGGCAATAGGGCTGTGCTGCAGGGTAGAGATAGGAGCTGCAGAAGGAGTATGCACTTGCTGGAAGCAGAGGCAAGGGGTTTGGGTAGCCCTAGGCCAGGCTGGAGCAGGAGACCAGAGCCTGGATTAGCCAGTGGAGAGGTTAAGAAAACAACACCGCCCCCCACCCGCTCTCCACTGGGCCTTGCCTGGCTGGCCAGTCATCCTCACCTTCTCCCCAAGCTGGAGTCGCACACACTCCTGTCAGCTCCTGAACATAGCTCAGTTCTCACCCACAGGGGGGTAAAAGGTCCCCCCTGGAGCTTTGCACAAGTTGTTCATTCACCAGCTGGGCACGGGGAGGTTGGCTAATTTGTGTGTGGGAAGCAGGAGGCAGGTCCTCAGAGCAGCAGGGCTGGCTGAGGGTGACTCCTGGACTCAGCAACCCAGG